TCTTTATGATAACAAAAACTGTAATTAAAATGTAAAGCAGAATTAACATAACGTGATATAATGTGTATATCACTTACATTATTTATTCCAAAATATAACAGCAATTTGATCAAATTAACAGAAATTGAAACATTTGAAATTTGCATTCAGTTATACAGTTAAAATATGCATGCTAAAATTTACAAATTGAAAATAATAAAATATCACCACAATGTAATAATACACAAATTATAAGTGACGATGGTTTTTAAAAAAATTATTAAATGAACCTATTACTTGAAAATCAAAAGCTTTAAATAAGTGTTTTACATTGATCTCATATATAAAAAAACGCAAATGACTACTAAATCTTCTGTTAAAATACATTTGGGTAAACCTCTCCTTAGAAAAATTACCTTGGCTGAGTTTAAAATGATTAGAATATATTTTTATTAGTTTTTCCAAAACGGTATTTTCAAGCTCTTTGTTATTTTCTACATCGGCTAACATGGATGCGGATGATGAATCAAAGACTTTCGCAATAACTCGTAACTCATCATCATTTTTCAAATTTAGAAACCTTGAAATTTCATTAAAATAGTCATACATTATCCTGTTAATCTTCTTTATTCGATTGATGCCAAAATCTTGCGTCCAAACCATTTTGTAAAATTTTGTTGAGCTTGCAGATGGTAAGTCTTCAGTAATTTCACGTATGTGTAACCACGAAATGTATAACATAATATATTTCATAACGTTCATGAAAATATTGTGACATTCACCAACGCCATTGGCCAATGCCACAAAAGATTCGACGTTATGACTTCCGGAGCAGGTATCAGTTATTAAACTGGTTATATGCTTTTGTTTCGCTTTGTCGGTAATCCCTGCAAATTTCCTCAATAATTCACTAAAAACAGAGAAATCAATTGAATGAAGCAAATGCAAATGATGAAATTTGAAGTATGATTTACAACTGTCGATTCTCATTCTTTCAGTTATATTATAGATTCTATCGTTGATTGTAGCCTTGATTTTGCCCACAGAGAGTGTGATTACCTCGTGCGATATTATTGGAATTGCACAGACTTCCGGAGATTTAGAATAATCTGAATTTTTGTATTGATCGTTATACACGTTATTATTATCTGCAATATTACAATGTCGATCGGTGAATTGTGTAAGTCGTACGTGTACGGTATCGTGCTCAAGCAATAAACGGAATCGTTTATCTTCTTCGTATAATATACCGTTTTTGTCTAATGCGTACAAACTGTACGAATACATGTACACGAGCCATAAGGGATCCACGGAATCGATCTTTCCAAAATTGTATAAAACGTTTAACATTTCGACCACCTTGTGTGAGAATAAAAACACGGATTCTGTCCCGCTCTGTTCTGTTAGTTTCTTTAACGCATCCTTACCTTCTGCGGTCAATAGTGGTCTGATCAAATTCATGTAATGACAACAGTTGAACACATAACTACACAGAAGATCTCCGTAAATCTCGTCAATCGCTCTCCGTGTTGAATATGTCTTCAGTGCTTCATACCTTGTTAATGATTGTTCCTGTGTGTATCCCGTATCGATGTTTTGTAATTTTTTATAATGACCATTTGAATTGTCTTCTGCATATTTTTGACGGACACACTTCGCATCACCGTATTGCCAAAAATCCCATGTTACTACAGTCAGCAACACTAATGACCAAGAAAACGACATGTCCTCGTTTAGTTTTTAAATAATATAATATTACACGTAAAATAATATGAAAAAACTCTTTAACCGCAATTTTCTCAGCAGATTTTCAGTACTGAGTTGTGTATTTTAATTTTCGAGTTGTATGAAAAAAAGCAACGCACAAAAACATATTCTTTTCGACTTTTTTGGTTGATGTTGTTGAGGTTTCGTACAGTATAATATTGCTATCGACTATATTTTATCACTTGTTCAAATAATACCTTTAGGGTCTTGCGAAGAAAATAATGTACAATAACATTTTATTCTGACGACCACGTAAGCGACATGCATCGAGCTACAAAATAAATTTTATCAAAAAAAAAAGGGAGATGACAATAACGTATAACAACAACGTGGTCAGTTTAAGAATAGAAACAATCGAACTTAACACTCTTTATATAAAACGGTAATTGCGGATTAGCAGATCGAATCGATAAATAAAAATACTTGCTGTTTTTTTCGTAGACACCCGCCTACACTTTTAACACTAATAACTCTAAAGACATTTAATCATAATTAGTTTTGATTTCCTATCAACATTTTCAACAAAATAAACATTAAATACAATTTTAATCGGTTGATCCGCTTATTATTGTATCATTTGTACCTAAGCTTTACTGAAAATAATACTGGATTTTAAATTTACATTATTTTAGCTTTAATGAGGAGCTGAAAAGTTATTGATTTTATAAAATTATGTGTTTTTATTATTTTCATCAGAAATCGGTTCAGTGATTTCTTCGTGTGGCAAGTCTATAGATCAGAAATCGTAGATGTAAGGTATTTTATTGGACCAAACAAATTCCTTTCCTTTAAATATCGAGAAAATTGCCTAAATAATATACATATTTCCAATTATGTTCAAAATTAAAAAAAAATGCCTTCAATTTTAGGGCAGGAGGAAAGGTGGAATGAAGTAATCGTTTTTTAAATAACCTAAACCTTTACTAAGAAGACGGATAAAATTATGGAAATGTCAAAAAAAAGAAAATTAATTAACACAACCGTAGATTTTTTAATCAAATAATAATTTTTACTGTATAACTGAAATCAAACAATATTATTCATAGTACACTACTGTAACAACTTAAAAGTATGTAAAATTAATATTGAATGGAAACTGATTAAAGCGGAATTTTTGGGCTCTTATTTTTTATGACTGCGGCTATATTTTCATTTGTAAAATTAACACAGTCATTGTCACTTATGTATGCTTGCAACTTTTTTTCAATATCCGACCACGGACATTCTGTACACTGCGAACCGTCTCCTAAAGTTATGCTTGTGATATTTTCGTTGAAATAAAATGCTACTTTATATTCATTATTAGCGTTTTCGAAAAGCACGGCCATAAAATTTGCAGCCCACGGACTGAACATGGCACTTCTCCATTTGCGATTTCTCATATCTTCAAAGTTTGATGCCGTGAGTGGACTATTGTCTTTGCCCAAACCCAACATGACGTGTAAGCTCATAACGTTAGTCCTGTGGCCAAAGTGAAACGAACCAGTGGGTCCTTTTTTTTTATTTATTTTTTCGCTGAAATCATAAAAATATATTTACAATAGCTATGTACGAAACAAGGAAACATTCATTAAAAGCAATCAATACAATATTATGGTTATATAATATTATCCAGAGTAGGTCATTACTAGAATATTTTTGGTATAAAACATTTGATACAATTGGTAGACCGTTTTACGATATTACATAATAATATTATTAGTAAACCACTGGAAAGAGTAATACGTAGTGTCAATGATAATAACTTAGGGATAACTTAGTATTGGTGCCACACGAATTAATGAACTGGGCTTTGCAGACGATTAAAACCTGATAGGGGACAGCAAAGCATTAGTAGTATTTTTTTTTAAATACTAGAAAACAATTAAAAATTGCATTAATAAATTTGCACAGTTATATCAAGCATATGAAATTTGTATATAGAAGTATAAATAATACAATATAAAAGTAAAATTTAGCACAGGATAGCTTTAAATTAGTACAGACGAAACCAGCGTGGTTTGATCCATGTATACTTTAAACAATTATTAAACTGTCTAAAACGTTTACAGAAAAAGCCAGTGTAGTGATATCATCGCAGAGTGAGGACGGGAAGGGGTCACAGCCCTCAGGTCTTCAAGAATAATGAAATAATAAGCTAATGAATTCATAATACTCGAAAGTCTTCAGGAGTCTTATGGCCATTGGACATGCGAGTTTTATGTTGGACGGCGTTGAGTATCCAATAGAATAGGACCAAAGCAATTCATCAAGATACTCCAAAACCTATGATCATTTAAAAATTTTCAAAAAATGCCAAAACTATTAAAATTAAACCCTACACAAATATGCTTACTTCTAAGTCTTCTTGACAGAATACACTACACCAAGGGGGGATCGATTCATCATAAAAAGACCTTTCGTAGCGACATGCTTCAAACATAATGCTTACTTCATCTAATAGATAGACAAGTTAGTCACAGCTCCATATTGTACATTAACATATTTTTTTTTACTTACAATAATTAATATCATCAGACCCCATTTTAACATTAACTCTTTTAACAACTTTTTTCATAGAATCAGAGTTTTTGAATTTTTGATTTTCAGACTCTCCCTCGTACTCTGGTTTTTTAATGTTCTCAATCTAAATCAACATTAGTTTTTAGGTAAAAACAATGTAAATGTCTATGTTTTAATATAGTTACCATTAAAAATAAGTCAACATCATTACATATGACAACGTCAGTAATATCCTTAGTATTACCGTAAACAGTTTGTAGAAATATTATTCCAGTATCCTTACAACGTGGTTCTACCACTGACAATGCCTAAAATTGTAATTCCATAAAATGTTTTTGTGTTCAATTCTATTGTAAATAATTTTTTTAGTGGTGTAAAATGTACCTCGTAGTTGTTTGACCGTTCAAATAAAGCCGGGAATGCGTTTCGAACTCTCAGTGCCAATTGCTTTATTTCTTCACGACCTTTTTGGACCAAATATTTTTCTTCTATCTTATATTCACTACTTGGGCGCCACTCCTTTATAGCTTGAATATCCGATTGTGTCATTTTAGCTTTTTGGGTGATTTTTCCTTTCAAATTCTCAAGCAAAGGTAACATTTTAGTAGTAAAATAACGCGTTGACGATGTCGTACCGTGTCTGTTTAAAGTAAATATCTGAATGGGTTTATAATCTACTAAAAAACCACAACGTATTTTATATTTAACAGAGACTCATTAAGTTAATTACATAGTATGATAGAATGGTACTATTACTTACGATGTGGTACAATGATTTCTTTGGCGGAAACCAATTTGTACGTGGTTTTCGTGCTTGAATACCAGTATGGATTTGTATCTTTATAGTTTTTTACGGTATTTGTAGCTACAAAGTTGACACAGTCATTGTCGCTTATAAACGCCAATAAATTATGTTGAATATCCAACCATGGACATTCTGTACACGACGAACCGTCTTGTAACGTTATAGGAGTAAGTTTTTCGTTGAAATAAAATGATACTTTATAATATTTCTGAGGGCCCTCCAAAAACACAACCATAAAATTTGCAGCCCATGGACCGTACCTCGAACTTCTCCAATTAGGGTCCTTCATATATTTGTAATTGGAGAACGTAAGAGGAACGTCACCGTCACCTAGGCCTAACATGATGCACAAACTCAATATATTAGTGTTGTGTGCAAAGTAGAATACACCATCTGGTCCTTCTCCGTTGATTTTTTTCCTGAAATTATATTATACATATTACACCTACGCCATCGACAAATTTCAATATTATGTATTACGGTGGTCTTTATTTTTTCATTTCACCTTGAATTCTTATATTATACACTACATCTATTTTACTGGAGATATTTATAATCGTACGAATAAACCTTCCCCGTTCATAATTATCGAGTACAACTAAATTCTAAACGAAATCACCACCCTTCTTATCTTTAAAAAAGATGTATAGATGAAATTAATGGGAATAACCACTTAAGGTCATAATTGCAATAAGGCCATAAATGCTCTTCAAAACTTAGAATACATCTATTTTGCTCATTTTAAATATTCCAACACGAAATTTATTCTCCTAGAAAAAAAACTATAAAAGCACCACCGTAACATACATAAGTGTATTGAAATTCATAATACTTGAAGCTTTCTTCTAAACGTATGGCCATCGGACAAGCGAGTTTTGCGTTAAAAGGGTTTCCATAACCAGTTAGATAGTACCCAAAAATGTCATCGGCGTTCTCCAAAATCTACAACCATTTCAAAAAACTATCAAATACAAGCAGTTCTTGAAAATCACTGTTCCGCTATATTTGCTTACTTCAAGGTCTTCTTGAGAGAATACACTGTACCAAGGCGAAATCGCACTTTTGTCAATAGACGATTCGTAGACACTCACCTCGTACATGATGGTTATGATCTCTAGAAAAAAAAAACCTAGTTATTTTCTCCGCTCTACAGAAGAACATTTAATCACGGATGGTTATCTCTTATATATCTAATCTCTAATTGAAAGTGAATGTGTAACACGAAAAAGGCGACATGAAATTTCTTGTACCCAGTCCTAATAACATATCCATGTTAAAAACATAATAATATAGAAAAACATCAAAACGATGTTGCTTTTGGTTATTAGTCAGCTTACCGGGGTCAAGTTCTGTAGAATCTATGCCCATTTTAACAGCAACCCTTTGCATGACATCAGCCATATTGTTGCCTGCCCAAAATTTGATTATTTGATTCTTATCATACGTGCCTGTCTCTTCACAATTCGTATCGGTCTGCTTCAGATCTTCAATCTGTATACAATTTACAAAAGATTTACCAACATATTTTATAGTAAAGGAAATCGCGCACACTTTCAACCGTACCATTAGAAGAATATCCGTAGGGTCACATATAGGAATATTGGTGATAGTTTCATCTTGAAAAACGTTTTGTATAAATGTTTGACCCGTAAGTACACACCGCGTTTCCGGCGTGGTCAAAACCTAGGACGGTTAAAAAAACAAAAATTCAAATATTTGTACAATTATATTACAAGGTTATTTCAATTTCATGTTACAGTAATTTTTTCTGTGAATTGAAAAGTTTGGGTTTCATAATAAGTTCTTAGTAGTTCATAATAAGTAATTCAAATAAGTTTCAAATAAAATCCTTCGTTTGTTTAACGATTAAAATTTTAATTTAATAACCAAGTTGAAAAATATATATTATTTCAAAAGCTAATATAAGGAGATTAATTTTTCAACCTAAAAGACTGGTCGACAACCAGTTTTAGATAAATACTTGCTGCTATTTTTAATATTATATTTTACAAAATATTAATTATAATGTTTTGTTATTAAGCTCGATCAGGGTTTTATCAAACGTTTTTTTTTTTTTAGCTTGCATAGTTATTTTACCGTAACACGAAACTTGGACAACTCTTTATGTTATATGTGTTTGTTAATCATGGAACGGTGCGACATACATCATAACTGTCGGAGTCGTACTGCCGTTTGAATAGATTTGGAAGAGCTTGACGAATTCGTATTGCCAGTGTTTTTATTTCATTGCGGCCTTTTTGTATTAAACTACTGTCACCAGTCTTGTCAATGGCTGGTACCCAATTTTCGATGGCTTGGATATCATTCTCATGCAATTTAGTACGATCGGTAATTTTTGTTTTATATTTTATCAGTTTCGCTACAGAATCGTCGAAAAAGGCTGTACTCGGAGTTCTCGTGCCTTGCCTCGTCAACATAAAAATTTGACGTGGCGTATAATCTACAAAACAGGATTAGCGTTCTTTGTATTTGTCTTCTGTCCAAAATGAAAAATGACCTCTCTACACAGCAATACCTATTATTTAAATATTTTTAATCTTAATGCCACTTCTCAGTTAAAAACGGATCGACTCTTTACAGCCTAAATACACAAATGCTAACGCCTCACAAGAGCTACATCCTCGCCACTTTTATTTAATTTCTTTATACAGCCGATCAAGTTTGAAGGTGGAATTCTGGCAAGTGACGGATGAGTTGGCAGTTATGAATTTTTGTTATATGTTCATAACATATTTTGTTTAAATCTTTTTAAACTTTTTAGGTTTAGTAGGCGTAACTTAAAGTTAAATTTATTTGATACAGAAATAATCACTGACTTGTTTGGGCCATCTGGATCTTAAGGTCCGCTGTAAAAAAAGTTAAGTATTGTATTTTTTTTTTAGATTTTTAATTCCCTCGAGTAGGTTAATGTAAACATAAAATACATAATAATTACTTGTGTTAACTGCTAAAACAGTAACAACGGCGAATGATATTAAAATACAAAAATGTTTCATTTTCGTCTGCAAAAAATAATAAACATAAAGCTTTTTGTACTAGACAAAGTCGTTAAGTAATTATGGATTTTTTTGTGGAACTGAGAAGGTTTTCGTTTAAAATAATACCTTTTTCACGACTGAACCGATATGCTTATGTAGCTAAAAAAAATATATTTGCTTTTTTTACAATAATATATATTGCATAATTATAAAGTTGAAAAGTATGCACTTTTTTATTAGTTGTTTTTGCTGATATTAAATGTAAACTTGTTAAAAAGTAGGTCAAATAAGGCACATTTTCGGATCCATTTGTAATCAATAGACACGTTACACGAATAAAATGGTGATCAAATTCTTTACTATATTAGCAATGAAATTAATCAAGTGGTCAAGAGTTTATCGCATATCTAAACACAAAATTAAAAAACATAGACAATTAGAAATACTTAATAAAAATGCATTAAATTCTCACTAAAATCATTGAAGTCATAATAGAACTCTTGTGAACTTGTATGTTAAAACAAAAGTTTAAAAATGATTCTCTTGTAACTTGGTAACCAAAACAGTAAAATCTGGACAAGTTTTTCAGTATGCGAATATACTTTAGTACGTTTACTTGTTTGTACAAATGTGCAGCAAACTTTAAACTATTGTTTTTGTAGGTATTTATTTAACAATTGTTGATAAACAGCGATGGGCATTATACAGTACTTATTTTTTTCGACTATGTACAAAATACAAGATACGGGTTATCCTGATATTGCAAGAATTATAGCAAATAACTATTTTTTACATAGAGATTAGATATTATTCAAAAATTTGATTGTGTAGAAATTGCATTCTAATAGCATTGACTTAACGTATCATTCTACGGATAGGCAATAAAACTAGTCCAAACCAGTAAAATTTTATATGGTATTGTTTATACGTTTTGGGTGTAACGACATTTTCCTAAAATAACATCTGCTATGACCATTTTACTGTATTAAGTACTTCAGAAATCTTAAGCAATTCATTGAGCAGCTATAGACTAATAATCATAAATCACCAACTTATGGTCTAAAATTTAGACTAGAAGCAGATCAAGTGTAGGGCTATAACATATACAATTTTCTAAGAAATCAGTATTCAAAAAAGTTTCAATCAAAAAATTGAATATGATACAATTTTGTATTGGTACAGGGCCTCTTGAAAATCTGAAGGTGTAGTAAATAAGTACAATTATAACGTGCACTTATGTTGTGAGAATTATAAAAAAAAACATGTTTTTATGCTAACTACAAAATATAATAAGTTTACTCGTGTATACAATTTTTAGTTTAAAAAAAACGACAAAATATATATTATAATGCTTAAACATTTTATAAAAGCTATACGAAATTCGGCAAAGTTGTTTTTATGTACAGCTGTAATAACTGAAATTTTGAGTGTATGTGTATCCTGGTATACACTATTAACTACATTGGGCTATAACAACACCATAAGCAGAATAGTAATACAATTTTAGTAGGAAACTCCAAAAGGATAGAGGACATTTATAGATCTAAAGCTGTAGTACACAAACGGAACAATACTGTGCATGTGTATTGTCTACAAACAAAGTTTGTTACTCGTTTACATTCATATCGGTTATGATAGGACAAATATGTCGAGAAAAACAGCTAATAGGCAAGCCATACAGGGTGACATTTTGGCTGTAAATATTCCCAAACAAAATGGGGTTTTCAAGTGCCTAATTGATATAATTTGTAGCTTCGAATGATAAACATTTTGAATTTTTCTCATTAACGAAAACTCTATTTTAATATTTTATGAGAAATTAAAAGTCATTACGTATTCACTCGTTTTTTTTTCTTTTTTATAAGCCATATATTATTGATGTATTCAACTAGAGAACAAAAAATATATACAATATATTAATGGTTTCTGAGTTCAAAACTTTTTTCTATAATGGTACATCTTCTTTTCTTTGAAACTAAACAAAATCGTTACTGGTGGAATCCTTTGCGTTCCATAAAGTTTTACAATTTATACGGTAAAATTGAAAATTCAATCTTCCTAAAGAAAACAGTTTTTGTATAACATCATTATGCAGTTTTTTTTCCTGAATATTGCATAAGTTTGTTTGGGTCGTCAGTTGCTATGAAGAAATAACGAAACTATTAATATGAAATAGCTCAAAATATTTAACATTCCGGAGGTTATTAAAAAGAATTTCCCAACAGATTTATCCTAACATAATTGATATGAATGTAAACGAGTAACGAAATTTGTTTGTGGACAATAGACGTGGACAATAGACGTGCCCACTATCTGTTATTCTGTTTGTGTACTATAGCTTTAGATCTATAAATGTCCTCTATCCTTTTGGATTTTCCAACTAAAATGTTATTATTACTCTGCGTGTGGTGTTGTTATAGCCCTGTATAATTAACTATGTATACCCGGATACACTCAAAATTTTAGTTGTTAAATAGATTAATTTCTGGCAGGTATCTGTGTAGTTTTGGATTCACTATTCTTAACAAATGGCGATATGTCATACTGTGGTAAAGTTGTATTATGAAAAAAAAAACATTAGTGATCGAATATTATTCCGATCAATTAGGTTGAATACAAATTTAAAATCAAACTCATTTTATACATCAAAAAATGTCTATTAATATGTATTGAAAATAAACAACTATATGTTATATATTAATTATTATTATATTATTATACTTTTATATGGAATTTCAAGTTATCAAAAGCTTGACATTTTATCAAAGTATATGTTATATCAATAAGGCGTTTGAAAAAATCAATGGTTTGGAATTTTCACTATTATTTGCAAAAATCATAGAATGATTCTCTGTCCCTAGAAAAATTATATCACAGGTTTGTTTTTTTAAAATTATTTATATGTATGCAATATTTTTTAGATTACTAATATAAGCTTAAATTTACGCTGTTCAATTAGGACAAATCTCAATTTTAAATCAAACCCTTTTTTACAAAAAAAATGTCTTATAGTATGTATCAAAAAAAAACAATGCTACAATGGCGGGTGGTTGGTGGTCAAATTTCAGACATAATAATTTACAAACATACAGCGATATAGT